CTAACAGTGTTGCTAACCCTCTCTTCTCGCATTCTCAGGCAGCGGATGCTAAGCCCCGCCCACTTCCTGCAGACCATTTTGCACATCGTTCAGGTGGTCGTCAGCTACTTCCTGATGCTCGTCTTCATGACCTACAACGCTTACCTCTGCATCGCTGTGGCAGCGGGCGCCGGCATGGGCTACTTCCTGTTTAGCTGGCGAAAGGCGGTTGTTGTCGACATCACTGAGCACTGCCATTAGCTAGCATAGCTAGTTAGCGTGGCAGTGGGAGATTTGCTGATCACAATCGATAAACGCTAAGACTCTCACTCTATGTTAGCACGCTAGCCAACCTCGAACTACAAACCTGGGGAGGTAGCTGATAAAACAAGACACTAAATTACTCGGTAACCATGGTAACACCTTGTTCTAACGTTAAGGTAGTTAGCGATTAATAAAATCTCTCGGCAGAAAACGACAAACACTTTCATCAAGTTTGGTTGTTTTGTTTCTTTTTTTTATGAACTCCTGCTGGTGCGCGAGCCGGCCAATCACAGCTCAGATCACCTCAGAAGTTTCTGATTGGCCAAAATGACGTCAAACTGTCTTTTATTTTGTTTTTATTTTTAGTGCCATGACAACTGGAAGGTTAGCACTAACTGCTACTAGCCAAAACGTTAGCATGCGTAGCTCACATATACACTTAACTTTTAGTTAGCATTGTTAGCAGCTCATTAGACGAGCCACCAATCATAAAACCATATTTAAACATTGAGAATATAATATATTAGGAAATAGATGTTTTACTAAAGTTTTCGTTCAGTTTTTTTGATTTAAAGGAAATTTATTAAAACATTTGAGGTTTTTTTGTTCGTCAAGTTTCTACATTTTTCTTTTAAAATTATAATCACATAAATTCAGCCAACGAGCCACTATTCCAATTTATCAGCCAACTATCCTGAATTAAATTTAAAAAAATTATAAATATTACATGTTGTCCGCGAGCTGGCCAATCAGAGCTCAGATTGATTGATTTCAAACATAAAACATGTATTTTCTTCTAACAACCTTTTCCCAGGTTTTCTTTTTAAATAAAAACATCCTGAGACCAGAACAGGTTTTCATATTTTGAGGTAAATTTTCTGAATTAAATTTAGAAAAAGAAATGCTGAGTTTCTTCCGGCCGCCGTCGGCCTTAAACCAACACCTGTTGCCTTAATGTGGCGTCCTGGCGTCCTGACTAGAGGCCAGTGTTTGAGTTTTAGGTGCTGCTGTTAACGGTTCAGCTCTCAGATCTTTACTGCTTTAATTTCCTGAGTCAGAGGAAATGAAGGATGAAAAACGTCTGACTGTGTCCAAACTTAAATCGTCGTTTTCTGTCTGAAATGGATGTCATTGTGATTTATTGTAATTTTTATTTTTATGGATTCACACTGAGATGTGGGCGGAGTTTACTTACTGGACCAATCAGGTTGCGGGGACAGATTGCCGTTACTGGATTCTTATTCTGAACAAAGCACAGCGACACTATGTGGCCAAATGTAAAGGGACAAGCCTGACCACAGTGATGTGTATTGATCAGACTCCATTCAGTGGTGTTATTAGCTGTCCACAGACTTTTGTCCTGCAGCAGATGAAAACTGTCAGATTTCAGGTTCATTCTCCTCTCAGTGTGAATCTGCTCGTCTCTGTTGATGTTGTTGGAAATGAAGTTGTCTGAAGGAAACTGTCGATCCAGAATATTAATGTCTGAATGTTTGAATTGTCACAAATGCTGGAATCATTGAAAAAAAAAAATACACAAAGTTTATGAAAAAACGTATTGTCGTCTCGTCTGTCGGAGAAAATTAACTCCAGATTCAATAATACAACAAACTCTGATAGATATAGATAATCTATATGTGTATAATATCTGTATACAGATAGATATAATATATTAAATATATTATATCTATATTGTATGTAATCTATAATATAGATTATATATAATAAAGTGTTTCATTTGATTTGGAACAAGAGTTTAACCCTTGAAGCACCTTTTAAAACGAACATACAAGTTTGAACCTGGGGACCCAAAATGGTCCCTCATAAGTGTCACAAAAATGTAATATATTAATATTTTTCTTCACTTTCACCGCATCAAATCTTTTCAACAACTTCAGGCCTAACCAAAGATAATAAAGTTTTTACAATTTTTAAAATATTTGTTATGTTATTCTGCCCTTTCTGTCATAAGATGTCATGTGTATGGTCTTTTGCCTGTGTTCACAATTCAAGGCACAAACCACTGATTTAAAGTTTTACATGCATGTGCTCCACATTTGATGCACTTTTGTCCAAACCCTTCTGCACTGTGGGCACAAGACACACTGCCTCTGCTTTCTGGAGGGCCTTGGCTGTGGCTCCTCCTCCTCCTCCTCTTCCTCCTCCTGACTATGGACCTGGCCCTGGCCTTGTAGGACCAGGCTGGCTGCAGACGGTCCTCTGGGCAAATGGCAGGGACTTTTCATGTGTGGGGACCACAGGATTTCCCCCATTTTTTTGGTCTCCATGGAGAGGTGTCATCCTCCATTGCCTCTTCCTCTTCCTCCTCCTCTTCCTCCACTGAGCTGCATGGCACTGGCAGGAACCTGGCTGTAGTATAGCCTCCTGCAACCCTGCGTCCTCATATGGGGACATAGTTTTATAGTAAAAAGAAAAGTCCTGATTTCCTCATGAGGACATCATTTTTTGTGAAAACTACAAATTGTTCAAAAACAATGCTTGTTTCTACGTCTATCAGGTCCTACTAATCCTAAATAACAATTGAAAATGCACCCCAAACAAAAGCTATCAGGAGGGAAAAAGAACATTGAGTGGTCTGAAGACTAGAAAGGTATTTTATACAAGTACAGATCCATTTACCATTTACCATTCTGACTATTTACCACTATTCTAACTACTCTCACACACTTCTAACATTCACCTGCATAAACAGGCTATACCCCGCATCCAACAGGAGAGAGGAGGCGCTCTCTCTCTCTCTCTCTCACACACACACTATTTTATATCTCTCCCAACATACCAAGACCATTTTTATGGTGTTCAGTTTTTTTTTATTGCCATGCATTTTGCAAGGTAAGAGGGCCAGGCCTCCATTGACACTGTGTGTGATGAAGCTCTGCTGCCCCTGGTGGTTTGGGGGGGTCATCAGACCTAAAACCTGTTTTCCCTGTATTTTGAAGGTAGTGGCTTAGATTTATTAGGTATTCATGGGAAAAGCATTATAACATGTCACAATTACAGTATATCAAAAATATGTGGTTATAATGAGAGTCAGTGTGTCCACGTCAGGCCCGAGGGTAAAGGGTGTAGGTAAATATTCAGAGCTCCTATCCTATACACCTTACGATAGAGGGGATCATGGAGTTTTACAAAAAAACAAATCCTGGCCACGTTTCATACAATTAGCCTTTAAACTGATATATTGAGAATCAAATAAGCTGAATGTACACGTTTGGTCCCCCAATGTGCCTCGAGGGTTAAGGAAGTTTAGTTTCCATGAAAGAGATTTGGGAGAATCACTGTGATCAATATATTGATATTTATATATATCAATATACTTTATTGATTGATTATATTATATTACAATGTAAACCCCACGTGGGTCCAGCAGGTGGCGCAATACAACCCGCAGAAGAAGAAGAAGAAGAACTTCCGGGTAGCAGGTAGATGTTTTGCTCTGTCCGGTCAAACAGGAACGAATATTCCTCCTTTCAGTCGTTCTTCCGTTATTTTACCGGGTCGTGAATGTGTTCGGTGTGATATCCGTTAGCCGGCTCTCAGTTACGGTCCTCCCGCACGCTGTCCCCGCACTCTGACCCCGCACCGACCCTCTGATGGCCTCCAGGCGGCCGGACAGCTTCGACGGGCTCGGCTACCGCGGCCGCGACGACCCGCTGTACGGAGCGAGCTACCCGGTCCGCAGCGCCGGAGCCCCCGCGGAGCTGCAGCACCACCACTGGGTCACCACCCCGCCGGACATCCCCGGTAGCCGCAACCTGCACCACGGAGAGCGGACACCTCAGTATGACGAGCCGCTGGGAGAGCCCGGAGCTCCCGGAGCCGCAGCCGGCTGGGACGCTCCGCAGCCCGGCATACCGCCCGCTGGTAGGTCGGTGTGGAGGGAGGCTAATGCTACTGCTAGTTAGCTCTGAGGCTAATGCTATAATGGGAAGTAATGGGAACAGGCTAACAGTTACATAGCTAGTGGGGAATATACATACGCTAATATGTCAACAGAAACACTGAAGGCTAAGTGTTGGTTGGTTTATATATAATATAATATAATATAATATAATATAATATAGTATAGTATAATATAATATAATATAATATAGTATAATATAATATAATATAATATAATATAATATAGTATAATATAATATAATATAATAATATAGTATAATATAATATAATAGTATAATATAATATAATAGTATAATATAATATAATATAGTATAATATAATATAATATAGTAAAATATAATATAATATAATATAGTATAGTATAATATAATATAGTATAATATAATATAATATAATATAGTATAGTAAAATATAATATAATATAATATAGTATAATATAATATAATATAATATAATATAATATAGTATAGTATAATATAATATAATATAATATAGTATAATATAATATAGTATAATATAGTATAATATAATATAGTATAATATAGTATAATATAATATAATATAGTATAATATAATATAGTATAATATAATATAATATAGTATAATATAATATAGTATAATATAATATAGTATAATATAATATAATATAGTATAATATAATATAGTATAATATAATATAGTATAATATAATATAATATAGTATAATATAATATAGTAAAATATAAAATAAAAAAAAATAAAAAATAATATAAAATAAAATAAAAAAAAAATATAATATAGTATAGTATAATATAGTATAATATAATATAGTATAATATAGTATAATATAATAT